GTTGAAGGAGGCTTTTCTTGTTACCTGCAATCTAAGGCTTCTTCTTCCACATTTCGTTTGAGAAAAAGTGAGAATCAGAGGCCATTCTTCTTCAGGATTAAACCACATTTCTTTCTAAAGTATAAAAAAAGAAAAAAATCTACACTTTTTAATATTCCTTTGGAATTGGGTTTGGAGGCACCCCAATTCCCACACCCATTTGAATTCTGTGCCTCTCAATCTCTCAAACCTATCTAACAAAAACTTGTAAGTTCATTGTTTCATCATTTCATCTTTTAGGGTTTCCTCATTTCATCTTTGTCAACACTTTTAGGGTTTCCTTCTTTTCCTTTTCAGACTTCATTTCCACTGTTTCTTCAAGATGTTAGGCGATTTCATCAACCGAATCCTTATGTACGTCCTTTTTTTTTCTTACTGTTTGTTTTTTTTATTACGTTATGAAAAGTTATTTATCCATTTCTTGCATTATAATTGCAGACTCCTTCTGGGGTATGCATACCCTGGATTTGAATGCTACAAAACTGTGGAGAAAAATAGGATAGACATGGAGGAACTTCGCTTCTGGTGTAAATATTGGTACACAAATACGTCTCTCTATCCTTCTTTTCTTATAGTCTTATCAATTTTACCCCTCTTAGAGAAATATTAGTTTACAAAAATCTGTACAGTGTAATGTTTTGAGTCTGTTTTTTCATGTTCATTATTTATTACACATGATGGTAATGGAGAAATAAGGTCAATTTCCATTGCAAAACTTATATTATAAATCATTTGTTAAGATCGTTGTAGAGCAAAACCTTCTTTCGAAATTAAGTTAAACTTAAAATTTAAATACAAACATGAATGTTGATGTTGTGTGAAAAATGTCTTTTAGTTTAAGTCTTGCAACTTTTTTTTGTTGAAAACTTTGATATTCAATGTTCAACCGAAGAAATTACTCTTTTTTTTTCAGAAGATAAGCTTGACCCTTTTGAGTGCATGTGAGGTTAAGAATAGCAGATAAGGTTGATAGTTGAATGGGAAGATATCTTGTTGATTCTGTTCATGCATGGTATATTATAAAATTCATGTTGAAGATGTTGCTAAATCTAAGCTTTGATTCATAATACATTTTCCATGGTTTATTTGCAGGATCATTGTGGCACTTTTCACTGTATTGGAAAAGTTTCCAGACATATTTTTTGGCTGGTAAGTGTTGAGCATATTGGATATTGTTTCCTCTNTAAGATCTCTTACAACTTTTATTCCAATATAAAGTTTTTTCTAAAACTCACTCTTTAGTTAATGTTTTATTTATTTGTTGATAAAAATATATGCTTTTAAGATAAAGTAATATATATTTTTTATTGACTTAGGGTCTTACCAAAATTGAGTGTTTTAATTTAAATTTTATCATATCAACATCAGAAATCTAATTAATAATCGTGTACATCATTCTAAAATGGAAATGCATTTACATTATAAAAAATTAAGCATTAACTATTATATCACAATTATATACACATATAAATTATAATTTTTTTTCTTAAATACTCTTTTAGTTTCTATTTTTAATGACTTTTTTTTAAATGTGGGGCTATTTTTTTATATTCAACATGATTCCAATTTTCGTAATTTATGTTCAATTTGGTCATTTTTCATTACGTCGTCTAAATTATTAACAACAAACTATACACGTTGGCAATGTTTGAATGAACTGTTTCTTTTTCTTATGTGGCTCGGCTAGCACAATCTTACTTGAAATTAACTTAATTAATTGTATATTGGAACCGAAATTGGCCATAAAAAGGGTTTATGAACTAGGGTTTTTGAACTGTGTGTGGGTTTTATGGTAGGATCTTTCATTGATTTTGCATAGTCCTCCCTTGACAGAAACTGTGTTCATTGCTTAGTAAGGTATGTCTGGTTGCCAATCTTTTTCATCTTATTGTAATAGTTGGAGGTATCGAATATGTCATTCCTCACATGGTGGTGGTTCAAGAAGAATTGGGATAATCGCCATTTGCAATTGCAGTGAGATGACAGTGGTAAGAATGACAAGAACATCAAAGAATGCTAGGAGACAATTTTGAGGTTGTCTTAATTACAAGGTTATATTAATAATAACATATTTAATTATTTTTAATGGAGATATTTGTTGGTAATTAGCATTGTCTTTCTTATTTTGTGTTGAACAACATAATGATTTCTCTAATGTCATGTGGTGTAATTATTTCAAGTGGTGTTCTGAAGAAAATGTTAATGAAAGGGATGCTATCATTGCCAGATAAATGAGGAAGATTCAAGATATGAAGAATTCACTGAAAGTTTAAAAAAAAGGATGCAATTGTTAGTAAGAGTCATTTGTATTATTGGTGTTATGAACATAGTTATGGTGTGTTTGTGTTTAAATTGATGCCTTTAGATTGCCACCCTATGCTTTGGTTTACTGTGTTAGGGCAACGAATTTGAGTTAAGTGTAAGTTATGTAATGTTATGGATGTAATGGTAAATTATTTATGTTATGGTCAATTATTCGACAAATGCTATACTTTTTCAATGCCACCTTTGCTCATTTGGTTACCATCCTTCCTTAACTCTCATTGTTCCAACCTTTTCTTTTTCTTTAGATTTCTGCGCAACTTTTTCTTAATCGGTGGCAGGACATCAGGAAAGGATGTTATTTGCCATAAAAGGTGACCATTTACTATATAGACGATGGATGCATATGTTTCTTCATATGTGGAGCTCTGAACCAATGAGATATATAATCTTCTAGATTTAAATTTAAAAATGTCATTGTTGCAATTGCATGGCAGCAAGAGATGCCACAAATGAGTCACTTCTTGCAGCTACATTCTTCACTGTCTAGGTTGTCTACGAAGTTGTTCTCAATCATTGAAACATGCCTAAACTTCAAACAAATTTTGTATCAACTAACTTTTCCAAAAAGTACACAAATAAGTTGAAAATGAACAAAGTCAAAGCAACATGTGTTAAAAAATAGTACAAAATTTTATGCTTACATCGGGATCCAATATTTTGTTAAATTTGATTCTCTTTCAAGTCTTTTTTTTTTAATCTTTAGGCAGATGGAATGCTCTAAAGTTGAGACCTTCACTTTATTGGTTCCCTATCTTTTCATGAGATAAAGCCTAATATCTTCTAGCATGGTTATAATGGGTATCTCTAGCATTATAATGACACTATTAAAAGTTTCACTCATGTTGTTGTTAAGTGTGTCACAAACTGCTTGACTTGTAAATCTAAATCTTGACCAATACTTATTTCAATGGGAAAAAACATGTTTAAGGTATGTACATTTCGTTAATGTGTTCGTAAGGAAGAAAAACCACATACATCATATCTCCAAGGTCTGCAACAATAACTCCAAAAACCACGTCCATGTTTCTTTGTTCTTGACTTCTACAATAGAATAGGTCAATCGTAACATATGCATTAGGATCCTGACCCACAATAGTTAGTAACTCTCCCTTACATTTTCCTTTCAAAAAGCACCCATCCAAACTAATAATGGGTCTACAAGACACAAAGTTATCCTTGCAAGCTTTTAAACAAACGTAAATTCTCTGGAATATTGTATCACTGTTGTCATTGTCAACTTTCACTTTTACTGTTGATCCAGAGTTACATCTCAACAATTCATTGTCATAAGTTCTCATAAATTGGACTTTAAATGAACTTTCTACTTGGCCTAATGCCATTAACCTCGTTCTACAAATTTTAGATATTGACACATTTATATTCTATTTCCTGACAATTTTAATACGTATATGATTTATCCTCAAATTTGGAATTTCTTGTAGACACTTATCTAAGGTGTCACTCAATCACTTAGCATTCATCATATTAGTATTGAATTCTCTGTTGCAACGGTGCATATTCACAATTTTCCTCAAATGTCAAGTTTTACATAAAGTCAAATACACATAAGTTGTCCATTAACACATTCGTTGGGCACCTATGCATTTGACTTTAACCTTATGTTTATCATTTTTAACGAACTTCAAAATTTTGTCAAGATGCACTGCATAATTTCTAACAACCTCCATAAACTCCTGCTTATTTGTAAAAGTTGTTCACACTTCTCATTTATACTTGGTCACACTTCTCTCTTTCATCACCCTCACTCTCACTTTCACTGTCTTGCGGACTTATTAAAAATTCTAATCGTCAATCATCATTAGACAATCCTTTGTCATTTGATTTTGTTTGAGTATGTATACCATGAACTGATTCATTGTCTTTTTATCAGTGTCTTTTTCATTTAAATTCACTTCAAATGTCACTTTCTCTTATACAATGTTTTGTACATAACTACCATCATCTACATAAACATCTATAAGTCCTACACCCAGTACCTATGTCATCCACTCTATTTTCCATTTTGTCGTTCACTTGAACTAACATCCCCTTTGTGATTATAATAATTGTTAATAACATCCTTTAAAGTAATATAGTTTTTACTATTTTGACTTAGGGTCTTTTTGAGTGTTTTAATTTAAATTTTATCATATATGAACATCAGAAATCTAATTAATAATCGTGTACTTGATTCTAAATGGAAGTGCATTTACATTATAAAAAATTAAGCATTAACTATTATAGCATGATTCTAAATGGAAGTGCATTTACATTATAAAAAATTAAGCATTAACTATTATAGCAAAATTATATATACATTTACATTATAGTTTTTTTCTTCCACAAAATTTTCCATGTATTTACAAAACCAGTTACGATGAGCGAAATAACAAAAAAGTCCTCGATTCCGTGCGTGCGCAACCGCTAAACCGTTGGAAGAAATCCCTGGAACTAAAATTGAAGAGAAGCGTTTGAGGCAAGAAATTCCTCAATTTTTCTATTATTGGAAAAACATCTTGCATCATTAAAAAAATGGAAAACAGAATTGGTCGTGTTAACGTCGTTAGATGTAACTGCAGCACTATATATTTGGTGTTGAAGGAGGCTTTTCTTGTTACCTGCAATCTAAGGCTTCTTCTTCCACATTTCGTTTGAGAAAAAGTGAGAATCAGAGGCCATTCTTCTTCAGGATTAAACCACATTTCTTTCTAAAGTATAAAAAAAGAAAAAAATCTACACTTTTTAATATTCCTTTGGAATTGGGTTTGGAGGCACCCCAATTCCCACACCCATTTGAATTCTGTGCCTCTCAATCTCTCAAACCTATCTAACAAAAACTTGTAAGTTCATTGTTTCATCATTTCATCTTTTAGGGTTTCCTCATTTCATCTTTGTCAACACTTTTAGGGTTTCCTTCTTTTCCTTTTCAGACTTCATTTCCACTGTTTCTTCAAGATGTTAGGCGATTTCATCAACCGAATCCTTATGTACGTCCTTTTTTTTTCTTACTGTTTGTTTTTTTTATTACGTTATGAAAAGTTATTTATCCATTTCTTGCATTATAATTGCAGACTCCTTCTGGGGTATGCATACCCTGGATTTGAATGCTACAAAACTGTGGAGAAAAATAGGATAGACATGGAGGAACTTCGCTTCTGGTGTAAATATTGGTACACAAATACGTCTCTCTATCCTTCTTTTCTTATAGTCTTATCAATTTTACCCCTCTTAGAGAAATATTAGTTTACAAAAATCTGTACAGTGTAATGTTTTGAGTCTGTTTTTTCATGTTCATTATTTATTACACATGATGGTAATGGAGAAATAAGGTCAATTTCCATTGCAAAACTTATATTATAAATCATTTGTTAAGATCGTTGTAGAGCAAAACCTTCTTTCGAAATTAAGTTAAACTTAAAATTTAAATACAAACATGAATGTTGATGTTGTGTGAAAAATGTCTTTTAGTTTAAGTCTTGCAACTTTTTTTTGTTGAAAACTTTGATATTCAATGTTCAACCGAAGAAATTACTCTTTTTTTTTCAGAAGATAAGCTTGACCCTTTTGAGTGCATGTGAGGTTAAGAATAGCAGATAAGGTTGATAGTTGAATGGGAAGATATCTTGTTGATTCTGTTCATGCATGGTATATTATAAAATTCATGTTGAAGATGTTGCTAAATCTAAGCTTTGATTCATAATACATTTTCCATGGTTTATTTGCAGGATCATTGTGGCACTTTTCACTGTATTGGAAAAGTTTCCAGACATATTTTTTGGCTGGTAAGTGTTGAGCATATTGGATATTGTTTCCTCTTGATTTAGCTTCAACCAAAAATTTTAACTCTGAATTTTATGAAGGCTGCCATTGTATGGAGAGATGAAGCTGGTGTTCTTCGTCTGGTTGTGGTATCCCAAAACTAAAGTAAGCCTATTTTTGTTCTCTTCTATACACATTTTCTTGAGTTATTTTAATACTATTTGTCATCTTTCTTGTTTGAGAGGGAAAAGAATGATTAGATATCCATTCTGATGTTTATGTTATGCTTTATATATTAGAGACAATGATAAGATAAAATACATTTATATTCATTTAATATATATTATAAAGATAAAATAGTTATAAATAAATAAATTTTTGTATTTTTAAAAAAGAAAAATAAAAGAAAAGGTAAAAAATAATAATATTAAATACATGTATTAAATTTGTGTATGTGAAAAGTATCATTTCTCTTATATATTCTATGTGAAATATTACCTACAAAAGTGATGCTACTGAAATGATGTGTATATATAATATACCACAACAACACACTTTTAAAAATATAACTAGTTGACTTTTACCGAGTCTCACTGAATAAGTTGGATCCACGTATTCTACATATGTATGNTCACTTCTTGCAGCTACATTCTTCACTGTCTAGGTTGTCTACGAAGTTGTTCTCAATCATTGAAACATGCCTAAACTTCAAACAAATTTTGTATCAACTAACTTTTCCAAAAAGTACACAAATAAGTTGAAAATGAACAAAGTCAAAGCAACATGTGTTAAAAAATAGTACAAAATTTTATGCTTACATCGGGATCCAATATTTTGTTAAATTTGATTCTCTTTCAAGTCTTTTTTTTTTAATCTTTAGGCAGATGGAATGCTCTAAAGTTGAGACCTTCACTTTATTGGTTCCCTATCTTTTCATGAGATAAAGCCTAATATCTTCTAGCATGGTTATAATGGGTATCTCTAGCATTATAATGACACTATTAAAAGTTTCACTCATGTTGTTGTTAAGTGTGTCACAAACTGCTTGACTTGTAAATCTAAATCTTGACCAATACTTATTTCAATGGGAAAAAACATGTTTAAGGTATGTACATTTCGTTAATGTGTTCGTAAGGAAGAAAAACCACATACATCATATCTCCAAGGTCTGCAACAATAACTCCAAAAACCACGTCCATGTTTCTTTGTTCTTGACTTCTACAATAGAATAGGTCAATCGTAACATATGCATTAGGATCCTGACCCACAATAGTTAGTAACTCTCCCTTACATTTTCCTTTCAAAAAGCACCCATCCAAACTAATAATGGGTCTACAAGACACAAAGTTATCCTTGCAAGCTTTTAAACAAACGTAAATTCTCTGGAATATTGTATCACTGTTGTCATTGTCAACTTTCACTTTTACTGTTGATCCAGAGTTACATCTCAACAATTCATTGTCATAAGTTCTCATAAATTGGACTTTAAATGAACTTTCTACTTGGCCTAATGCCATTAACCTCGTTCTACAAATTTTAGATATTGACACATTTATATTCTATTTCCTGACAATTTTAATACGTATATGATTTATCCTCAAATTTGGAATTTCTTGTAGACACTTATCTAAGGTGTCACTCAATCACTTAGCATTCATCATATTAGTATTGAATTCTCTGTTGCAACGGTGCATATTCACAATTTTCCTCAAATGTCAAGTTTTACATAAAGTCAAATACACATAAGTTGTCCATTAACACATTCGTTGGGCACCTATGCATTTGACTTTAACCTTATGTTTATCATTTTTAACGAACTTCAAAATTTTGTCAAGATGCACTGCATAATTTCTAACAACCTCCATAAACTCCTGCTTATTTGTAAAAGTTGTTCACACTTCTCATTTATACTTGGTCACACTTCTCTCTTTCATCACCCTCACTCTCACTTTCACTGTCTTGCGGACTTATTAAAAATTCTAATCGTCAATCATCATTAGACAATCCTTTGTCATTTGATTTTGTTTGAGTATGTATACCATGAACTGATTCATTGTCTTTTTATCAGTGTCTTTTTCATTTAAATTCACTTCAAAGGTCACGTTCTCTTATACAATGTTTTGTACATAACTACCATCATCTACATAAACATCTATAAGTCCTACACCCAGTACCTATGTCATCCACTCTATTTTCCATTTTGTCGTTCACTTGAACTAACATCCCCTTTGTGATTATAATAATTGTTAATAACATCCTTTAAAGTAATATAGTTTTTACTATTTTGACTTAGGGTCTTTTTGAGTGTTTTAATTTAAATTTTATCATATATGAACATCAGAAATCTAATTAATAATCGTGTACTTGATTCTAAATGGAAGTGCATTTACATTATAAAAAATTAAGCATTAACTATTATAGCAAAATTATATATACATTTACATTATAGTTTTTTTCTTCCACAAAATTTTCCATGTATTTACAAAACCAGTTACGATGAGCGAAATAACAAAAAAGTCCTCGATTCCGTGCGTGCGCAACCGCTAAACCGTTGGAAGAAATCCCTGGAACTAAAATTGAAGAGAAGCGTTTGAGGCAAGAAATTCCTCAATTTTTCTATTATTGGAAAAACATCTTGCATCATTAAAAAAATGGAAAACAGAATTGGTCGTGTTAACGTCGTTAGATGTAACTGCAGCACTATATATTTGGTGTTGAAGGAGGCTTTTCTTGTTACCTGCAATCTAAGGCTTCTTCTTCCACATTTCGTTTGAGAAAAAGTGAGAATCAGAGGCCATTCTTCTTCAGGATTAAACCACATTTCTTTCTAAAGTATAAAAAAAGAAAAAAATCTACACTTTTTAATATTCCTTTGGAATTGGGTTTGGAGGCACCCCAATTCCCACACCCATTTGAATTCTGTGCCTCTCAATCTCTCAAACCTATCTAACAAAAACTTGTAAGTTCATTGTTTCATCATTTCATCTTTTAGGGTTTCCTCATTTCATCTTTGTCAACACTTTTAGGGTTTCCTTCTTTTCCTTTTCAGACTTCATTTCCACTGTTTCTTCAAGATGTTAGGCGATTTCATCAACCGAATCCTTATGTACGTCCTTTTTTTTTCTTACTGTTTGTTTTTTTTATTACGTTATGAAAAGTTATTTATCCATTTCTTGCATTATAATTGCAGACTCCTTCTGGGGTATGCATACCCTGGATTTGAATGCTACAAAACTGTGGAGAAAAATAGGATAGACATGGAGGAACTTCGCTTCTGGTGTAAATATTGGTACACAAATACGTCTCTCTATCCTTCTTTTCTTATAGTCTTATCAATTTTACCCCTCTTAGAGAAATATTAGTTTACAAAAATCTGTACAGTGTAATGTTTTGAGTCTGTTTTTTCATGTTCATTATTTATTACACATGATGGTAATGGAGAAATAAGGTCAATTTCCATTGCAAAACTTATATTATAAATCATTTGTTAAGATCGTTGTAGAGCAAAACCTTCTTTCGAAATTAAGTTAAACTTAAAATTTAAATACAAACATGAATGTTGATGTTGTGTGAAAAATGTCTTTTAGTTTAAGTCTTGCAACTTTTTTTTGTTGAAAACTTTGATATTCAATGTTCAACCGAAGAAATTACTCTTTTTTTTTCAGAAGATAAGCTTGACCCTTTTGAGTGCATGTGAGGTTAAGAATAGCAGATAAGGTTGATAGTTGAATGGGAAGATATCTTGTTGATTCTGTTCATGCATGGTATATTATAAAATTCATGTTGAAGATGTTGCTAAATCTAAGCTTTGATTCATAATACATTTTCCATGGTTTATTTGCAGGATCATTGTGGCACTTTTCACTGTATTGGAAAAGTTTCCAGACATATTTTTTGGCTGGTAAGTGTTGAGCATATTGGATATTGTTTCCTCTTGATTTAGCTTCAACCAAAAATTTTAACTCTGAATTTTATGAAGGCTGCCATTGTATGGAGAGATGAAGCTGGTGTTCTTCGTCTGGTTGTGGTATCCCAAAACTAAAGTAAGCCTATTTTTGTTCTCTTCTATACACATTTTCTTGAGTTATTTTAATACTATTTGTCATCTTTCTTGTTTGAGAGGGAAAAGAATGATTAGATATCCATTCTGATGTTTATGTTATGCTTTATATATTAGAGACAATGATAAGATAAAATACATTTATATTCATTTAATATATATTATAAAGATAAAATAGTTATAAATAAATAAATTTTTGTATTTTTAAAAAAGAAAAATAAAAGAAAAGGTAAAAAATAATAATATTAAATACATGTACTAAATTTGTGTATGTGAAAAGTATCATTTCTCTTATATATTCTATGTGAAACATTACCTACAAAAGTGATGCTACTGAAATGATGTGTATATATAATATACCACAACAACACACTTTTAAAAATATAACTAGTTGACTTTTACCGAGTCTCACTGAATAAGTTGGATCCACGTATTCTACATATGTATGTATTCTACATATGTATAAGGAGTCTTTACATATATTATAGAGCAGATAAACTGTTTGAAATATCTTTTTAGATAATTATAATTATTACAAATGAAATTAAAAAGTTTATAATTACAAGTTAAGTATCAAAACCAAAACAAATTAAAGAATAATAAACAACTAAACTATTAAATAATAAACATTTTTATAATGATTTTGGCCAGATTAGAATTTGGATCATTGACCTAATTAATTATACAAGATTCGATCAATTATGCATTGAGTTGAATTTAATTTAATTAGAAATAGAAATAAATCATACTCCTCATATATGAAAAATATGCATTAATTGTGAGTGACTTTCAATTTTTTTTTAAAGACTCCAAACATCAAACCAACCAAGCTGTTTGAATTAGTTTAATACTGCGAAACAATTAGTCATAACATTATGCAGCAAAGACAAAGTACTAAATAAATTACGTACTGTTGTAGTTTTTGATGATTAATACTGTAATTTTTAGATATTAATAGTGTTGGAATTATTTTATATTGGTATAGATTCATTATGAATGAAATATGATTTTTTCACATAAGAAACTTGACATCATTTCAAATCTTAAAATTTTAAGATTTATTGTTGTGAATCTTGTTTTTCTTTCCAACTTTATCATTTCTACAATGAAACTTTCAATTTTAATTTTTAACAAAAAAAGTAAAAATGTATTAAAAGAAACATAAATAGATTCTTGGTTGAAACTTTTAGTATGGGATTTTTAATATACCTTTAAAATAAACTGATTTTAATGTTCTAAAATAAATATGAATGTTACAGGGAACAGGATACATTTATGAGACATTTTTGAAGCCATATGTATCAAAGCATGAGAATGACATTGACAGAAAAATAATGGAGTGGAAGGCAAGAGGATGGGATTATGTCATATTTTATTGGCAATTCGTTGCAAAATATGGCCAAACTGCATTTCTTCAAGCTCTTCATCAAATGGCTTCTCAATCTCATAAATTTTCAGCAAACCCTAATTCAGAGGTAAAGTCTAGAGTTGATTGAATTAGGACCCTTCTTTCTTCTTACTACCTCATTCTCTCTCATTCTATAAGATATAAAATATATAATATATATATATACATGTCATTAGAAATAATGTTAGTTCTCAACTGAGTGATTATGTGTATGTATCCATAATCCCACACTAATATATATTTATCTCATATAAACTCAGATCAAATATTTTTTTAGTGTTTGCTGTCTATTTATTAGCCCTCGTCGACGTTGATTTAATTCTTTCAGAAATTTCATCCATTAATTTTTAAATTTTTTTATCATAATTAATTCCATGGTTGAATGTAACATTTATCTACACGCATTTAATGTAGTATCGTCTCCATGTAGTTATTGTCATACCAAACCACACGTCACGTCATATTTAAAATAATTAAAATTAACAAAAATATCAAAATCCAAATTCATCACGGCCATGCACAAGAGATATATTCCTTAACATTTTCCTTTTCAATATATGCTAAAGTTTTGCTAAATCACAATAAAACCTAAATCTACAAAATTTTATTGTTTCAAACAAGTGTTAGAAAATAAATCATTGACTTTTTCGAATTACATATACTTTTTTACAATATTAATAACTTTTTGTACGTCACATTAATCACATGTAATTACAATAAATTACAATCACACCTCCAAAAATTCTTTAAAATTACACCTATATTCTTTCCCTTTTTACTAGTTTTCTCATGTAGATCAAATGTAATATTTTTCGTGAAACAAAAAATAAAATTTATGCAGAATGTTTTTATAAATGGAATCTCATCATCGGTATACTATAAAAATAAAAATAATAACATCACATAACAAGAAAATGAAAAGTGTATCAATCAATTCAATTAAAAATTGTGATAAATAAAAGTCTGTATGAGAATATATTCCGACTACCATATATCATTTGTGTGAATACTATAATATATATATATATATATATATATATATATATATATATAGAAATAGTGTGAAAAGTATAACAGGGAAGTAGCACAACCCATTGCAGAAAAAAGAGGGACGGTCTGAAAGTGCCCCAGAAGAAGCTCCAAAGCAAGCTCAATCATCCTTCATGAAGCAGAGCACTACCCTTAGCAAGGGCAAGAACTACCCTTCCAACAACCAAACCCAAACCGTCGAACTTCACAACGTTTCCAAATCCGAATACAAAGAACATCAACAAGCGCGGGACCCACAAACCGTCGGAGTCGACGGCGAAGGCCACCGCGACGACGACGAGCCCGTGAGCGTCAAGGACAGAATCACGCAGGCACGCGCCAGGCTCAGACGCTTAGATTCTCAACAACAACCACAAAGCCCTCGAACCCCTCGAACCCCGACACGTCAACACCAACAGAAACAACAGTGATAACAGCGTTGTACATATATACATAAATAGTCCTCACAAACTCAATCCCCTGAGATTGAAAAACCTAGACTCCGTTTCCTCTTTCCAGAACTATCATTCACCGATATATATATATATATATGTATGTATGTAAACATGCTCTGATATAATATATATAATAATATATACATTTGCAATAAGCAATAAGCAATAAGCAATAAGCAATAACCTCTTTGAATTTTGAGTGAGAAAAAATGGCTGTAATATTATATTGTTATGGTATCATAAGATTACAGGGAGGAAGCAAGGGAAGATGTGGAGAATTCGGTGGAGGGTTCGGGTGAGGGAAGGGAGTATGTGGTGGTATATGAATGAGAGACACGTGGCGAGAGGGTTGCGCCGGAAGAAGTGTTGGCCTGATGGGCCGCCGCTGGGGGAAGTGGACATGGGCTGGAGGTAGGCCCATGCGGCCTGCTTCACCAGGCGGTTGCGGATGGGCACGTGGTAGTGGTTGACGGCGGGGGAGTTAACGGCGGCGGCGGAATAAGGAAGCACGTCTCTGAGGGAAGTGTAAGTGGCGGTTTTCACTGAGAGAGAGCCCAAATCCAGAAGCTGTATTTTTGGAGTTTGGCTTTGAATTGATGAAGAAGAAGAAGAAGAAGAAAGGATATGAGAGAGAGTGGTAGAAGAAGACTTGGCCATGGATGTGGAACACTGAAAACAGAGAGAGAGAGAGAGAGAGAGAGTGAAGTAACAAACGTAGAAGTTTGTGGAAAATAAGAATGGGTCTATTTGAATTTTCAAAGGATGGGACAATAATAAGGAACACGCGTCGTGTTTCCAATGGTGGTTATTGCAATTAATTAAGGAAAAAAAATTAATTTTAATTAATGTAATTATTAAAGTAAATATATAGATAGGAAGTTTCTGAAGTTAGTTCTCTTTTTCCTGTTAGTCATTCACGTTAATTTTGAAGGTTCGTTTTTTCTTAAAAATATTTAATGCGATGTAATTTACAATTAGATTTCTGGTATGACAAAAGTCAATTAATAGTACAATTCTTTTAATATTTTTAAATATAGATTTTATAAATATAAAATGGATCAAATTGAAGGAATTTGTTTAATAAATTTGGATGTCACAAGGTTTTTTAAATATTTGTTTACAAGTAATTAACAAGCTCTTTAGTGCTAAACTTCCTTAGCTTACATATCCTTTGCTTTGAAAAGTCAAACTTATTATGGAGGTGATTTATAATTCCAAGGTAACTCTACTTAGCAATTATTTTCATATTAAAAAGAATAATATAACTCATNGAAGTTTGTGGAAAATAAGAATGGGTCTATTTGAATTTTCAAAGGATGGGACAATAATAAGGAACACGCGTCGTGTTTCCAATGGTGGTTATTGCAATTAATTAAGGAAAAAAAATTAATTTTAATTAATGTAATTATTAAAGTAAATATATAGATAGGAAGTTTCTGAAGTTAGTTCTCTTTTTCCTGTTAGTCATTCACGTTAATTTTGAAGGTTCGTTTTTTCTTAAAAATATTTAATGCGATGTAATTTACAATTAGATTTCTGGTATGACAAAAGTCAATTAATAGTACAATTCTTTTAATATTTTTAAATATAGATTTTATAAATATAAAATGGATCAAATTGAAGGAATTTGTTTAATAAATTTGGATGTCACAAGGTTTTTTAAATATTTGTTTACAAGTAATTAACAAGCTCTTTAGTGCTAAACTTCCTTAGCTTACATATCCTTTGCTTTGAAAAGTCAAACTTATTATGGAGGTGATTTATAATTCCAAGGTAACTCTACTTAGCAATTATTTTCATATTAAAAAGAATAATATAACTCATAAAATTGGGTGAAAATACAAACAATTGGTGCACTTTTACTTTTTTTTCTGCTCTTGTAATTATTAGCATCAAAATATTATTTTATCTCTTCATAAAATTGCAATAGAAATTACATAAAATGTAGGTGGTAAAATTCATAGAACTTTCTACATTACACTTCATGTAGTATATATTACTTTTACATTATAGTTACATATAACATTGGGTATAAAAAAAATTCTTAAATAAGGAACATATTATATCATGGGTAGTGTACCGATGTAAAAATCAACGTACTTTATGCATCAATGACATTTAAAATGTTCAAAATAACTGAAATCTCTTATTTTAGCATTGGTTGTCTTTACAACTTATGTTGAAGCTTCTTTTGTTGAATCCTAATCCATTGGTTTATATATGAATAATTATATATTAAGGACAATGTAAAAGAGATTAAATAAGTTATAAATTGTATACTTATATATCTAAAATGACATGAGATATTTAATGTGTGATAAATAGTGAAATGATTCTATTTTGTGATGGATAACAATAAAAATAATTTTATTTGTCCACAAGCAGGTTAAGTCTCAATATCGTACATTGTTTATTACTATTATGACATTGATATTATAAATAAACAAATATCACTGAGAGATATTTCATTTACTTACCTATTAATATGTACATTGTGAATTCATAAGTAAATTTAGTGTTATATATGCAAATTTAACTACTAATTTAAAATTGTATGTAAGTATACAATACTTATATTTGTGGTTTGATGGAATGATGTTTGATTACAGTGTAACATTGAGAATAGTAAAAGAAAAACTATCAGAACATGTCCTCATCACTAATCTTGAATTTAACTATGTGTGAGTACTCTATTTTTATATCTTTTTCTCATTTTAATCTTTAATCTTTTATTAGTCTAATAATTTTTTTATTGTAAATTTCTTAATTTCATTTTTATTGATTATCATACTCTCTCCCTGAAATCAATCTTTTTCTTTACAAGGAGAACAAACAAAATTTGAAATTCATAATATACAACTTTCTTATTGTTATAAATTCAAGTGAGTTTCCACTTTTTATTTTTAAGAATTAAATATGTTTTTATCCATAAATTATCATGTAATTTTAATTTTTGTCATTCTTAAAAACTTTGATCTATTT